TTTCAGTCATCATTGGAATTTAATCTTCTAATGAATGCTGTTTGGAATGTGTTGAAGATCTTCTGAGGTTATTCTCTAGTGAAAAACTAAAGAGATTTCTTTTTTTGAAAAGAAATCGTCCCGAGAACCGAGTAATTTTTTGCTCGAAAGGGTAGCCATGTCGACTGGAGTAAGATCAAATATTCGGGTGTTATGTCCCACTTTCTGTCCGCGTTTCTCACAGAGCTTTTCGCTCCAAAGGACTCTGATGACAGGAAAACCCTTCATAAGGAAGGAAAAACTAGAAAGAATGCAAACGGAAAGTAGGAGATGACAGACAAAGAAACTGATCTTGACACTTTCGAGCGAAAAATGACCCGGTTTTCGAGAGGATTTCTTTTCACAAAAAAGCCTCTTTAATTCTCTACTGAAGAATGACCTTGGGAGTTCTTCAACACATTCCAAACAATATCCATCAACAGATTAAATTCAGAAGGTGACTGGAATTCCGGACACTGTTCGATGAAATTGAATTGTTTCCCCAAAATGCTGAGTTTAACTTGACCAAGAAGCAAAGACAAACTCAGAGCTCTTCTTTGTTCTATAACCTGCAGAATCCCGGAAGAAATTGTTGATCGTATTGGACTTTGACTCAATTACCGCTCAACATTACTGCTTGACGACTCCTGTTTCTTTTTTACTACAATTTACCATTTTCCAAAGCCCAACTGCCTTTTTGTCTTTTGTGGGCACATTAAAGTGAAGCTCTGATAACCGTGAATCAGCTCCATGAAGCAAAAATGAATTTCAACGAAGAAATACGGGGTGGCTGTATCATTTTTGAACATAGAAAAATCGTCCTCCTCTGAAAAAATGGGCTCAGAATTTTTTGGCATTTTCGACATGGATTTTCGTAATAATATCTGAACTTGCCATGGAATTTGTCACATTTTCCATCAGGACGGTTTTTCGGAACTCTATAAACTTTGAATTTTTGAAATTGTAGGTGGCTGTATTATTATTGAACGCAGTGTAGTAGGTAGGATGGCCGCTCCTTGAAGGAGTCCTTCCCGGAGAAATTTTGCATTCTTTCCTAACATGCATATGTTATTTGTGATCAATAGAGACAACATACAAAATTTCAAGCACCAAGATTTAGTTCCCGAAAACAAACTTACAAAAACCACAGTCTACAGATAGTCGAAAGTAAGTGGCGTGGAGCCAAAGATGGAGCATGGAAAGAAGGCCGCCTCGGGAGGTTAGAATGGGGCGACGCAATGAAAGAAGTGAAGCAAGCGTGCGATATTGCAGAACAGAGATAAATCGGTCGGTAGAGTAGGAAGCAATAGAAGTGTGAGATGTTAATGCAATCAGTGAAAAGACCAGAAAGTTTCTGATGGCACTCCGAGAACGAAGTGGAAGCATTCTCGTCCCCGGCATTTGTGACAGAAGTCCGGCGGAACGCGTAGCAGCCCTTTCGGTCTTTCGATTTTTTTAAACAATCGCAATTTCTCTGCTCTCTTCGTTCTTATCGTGAACGTTAGTTCCGGAGCCAGCGAATTATGGATGAGATAGGGTCACGATTTTTACGATGAGACTTCCTTTAGGTACAAAGAATATTGATGATTCAGGTCAGATGAGCTAACACTTACCCCTTCTGCCCCCTTCCATGATGAAGCCCTCCTTGGATGTGAAGCACATCGTGCAAAAAAATTACCGCCGTTGCATAGCAAACCCACAACACTTGCCTTCAGAGTGGGAACGCTACCAATCCGCGACAGCGGCCGCAGTTCCGCACTGGTTTGCTTGCCTGATAAACATGTTTGTTTGCCTAATTCGGAGGCTCGCTCATTTCTTGAAAAATTTACGTAGCTCTCGATGCTCATATTTGTGACAGTGTTGCTGACTTAATCGATACACTTAGGTCTCCTTCCGAATTCTCATGAAAAATTCAAAGCACTGACTACACGTTGACGACAGCGTGCAGCGCATGCGCAGCACACCCAAATAGCTCATTTTTTTCACGACTGCGCTACCTCTTTTCTGAGTTTTTACATTTATTCTATAGATCACATCCCAACACTACCGTAAAAGGTGCGGTTGCACAAATGGCTGAATATTTTTAACATTAGCGAAGGTTCTCCAACTGGTACAAGCTCTCCAATTCGGTTCATTCCTCGTTTCTTCAGATTCTCTTGAACATGAATATATTGGGTTGACCCATAATTTCTGGCCGAATTCTAGCACTTTGATTTATTCAAGTTTTATCTTTCATAAAGAACAAATGATCAAAAACAGAACCACCATCACGATCACTGATATGCACTCATTTGCTAGGGAACGAATGTATGCATTAATCCCAGAACGAGAGAAGCTGTGAGTGAAAAGCTTGAAAAGGTCGTTTTGGGGCGGTTGTATTTACTGACGTTTTCTTCTCGTAGATGCTGCTTCAGAGGGCTGAGGAGGTGATAGTACGATGGAGCAACGTAAGTGCTATACGAAAGATGTGTTGTCATGGTCCAGCCAGTTTCCCTCGAAACATGGCAAGTTATCTTTGCAATGTGATTTATGGCGGTAATCCGGATAAAGGAGATTTTGAGACTTTTCCAACCGTGCCTCAGCACTGCTGCGGCCAACTTTGGAAGCTAGTCCATGGTTACCTTTGCAATGCGCATAGAGTGAAATGGGATACCCAGCGAATCCAACAGAACGGGGGTCACACCCTCTAATGAAACAGCTTGGGTCTTGGTTGATGTGCTGCGTCCAGGTTGCGAGGTAGCCACTGGGCGAGCCGTGTGTTGTTATCGCAGGCGACTCATGACTCATTTGCACTTGTGACCAACCAGGAATGTCTTGTCTATACGGTTGCAGAATGAAACTTCTGCAGATGGTCAGGCGTGCTTCTCGGTTATGGTCAGTCAAAGCATGCTGTTTCCATCGAGACTTCATTCTACTGCAGCCCATTCCATTCAGGTGTCGACTCACGGAGCGTAGGCTGCGTCCAGATGTTTGCTACAGTTTTCTGCTAATAGCGTCCGGATGCGCTTGTTGTTCGTAGCGCAAGCGGTCCTAATCGAAAGTGATTGGGGGTCCATGATGAGGTCGAAGTTTGCAGCTCCTATAGCCTCTGCGTGTGCTATTGAGCCAACAGCTCGGTGCCCGATCAGTAGTCAAGGCTCGGGCAAACGTATCGCTGATCTTGCCTACCACGCTCCTTGCAAGATTCTTCTTAACACGTTGACGACCGTGTGGTATGATGTCGTACCACACTCTTTCGGCCACGTGGGAGCGTGTGACATGATGTCATGTCACAGTCCTTTTTGAGCTGGTTTTCAAACATTTTAGGCAACTTATTTACGTGATGTATGTGAAATGCTTAGACATTGTTACAAAAGGCGTGGTCCCTGGGAAGCTACGGCTGATGGGCTATCGAGTTTTTCTAAAAAAATTTGAATAATGACCAAATTACAGGAACCGCTAAAATGGCCAAAATCGCATAATCGGAGACCTACCACACAAGAAAGATAACAAATACACACTTCCGGAGAAAAAGGAGTTCTCGTTTGACCGTGTGAAATGATGTCGTGACCCACTTGCACGGTCCCACACGGCAGACAGCGAAAAATAGCGCGGTCGTCAACGTGTTAAAATTGCCGCAAGGCAAAATCGTTGGGTCTGGTTGTCGATCTATTTTGATTCCAACTTAAATATCCCTTTGCGCACTTTAGCTTCTGAATCATCCTGGCTGAAGGTCCTGATGTGTTCTTCAACATATTAGCTTATTCATCATGAAGCTAATTTGACATGAAGAAAATTGAATTTGAACCAAAATCGGCCAGAAATTATGGATCAACCCCATGAAAACAGTAGTTGGAGTAAGCACCTATTTTTACAGTAAAACAACCCGTCTGAAATAATTTTCAGGTCCACTACATAGAGGGAATAAAGCCTGCCATTTCATTGCCATAACATGTCATTTCGACCGAACCTTCACCGTTGCCCCTCCCTAAGTTTATAGCATGAAATATCACTGGAAACATTTTGCCGCATCCAAGTTTTGCATTATAAAAGCACATATCCAAGATTTATTCAAAGAGGAGGCAAAACGCTTTGCTCCAACGCGTTGAAGAACCCAAAACGTGCGCTGTCATCAATGTGTTAATTACCAAGACTTTCAGAGAAGCTAGCCGAGCAGGAATTACGAAAATCAAATTAAGCGTAACAGCTCAGCGATGATTGGACAACATGAGCACCGAAATCCCTTCCTCTTCCTTTTCTTTATACATGAGATTAACCTTGAGCCAAAGCAACCCACAACAGAATTGCCTAAACCTGTCGTCGACTGTACCGTCGACCAGCCCAAAAACCAAATTTTGATGAAGTGTGATACCGAGCCAATTTCCGATATCATGTTGGAAAACAAATTTGCAATTCAGAGATAGCGGCTTACGCAATGTGCAATTTTAAGCTGAAAAATTGCACGAAAAGAGTAGATCAATTGCTGAAAGGTGCCCTTCGACAATTGTGAAATAGAATTCTGAGAATTTTATTCCATAATTGTCGAAGCAGAGGCTTTGGGGTCCGTTTGAAGGAAATCGTCAAGCACAAAAGCGATTAAGAACCGGTGAGGCTGGTGTTAGAGTCCGCGACACGTCGCAAGTTTCGTTAATTCGCGATTTCACTGCGCGAAACACTGGGTATGAAACAAGTGGAAACATGAGCAGTCGCAGTCAGCCATCACTATCAAGCAAAAGTGGCGGTAGGATTGGAGAACGCCTTTCAATATTGATTGGGCACTTGTGACTTCCGTGACCCGTCGCGTGAATCGTGTGAATGGCGCAAATTGTAAAAATCGCGGAAATCAGCGAAACCTGCGAAAGATCGCGGACTCTGACACCAGCCTGACAGTTGTTTGTTACGATATGGTCAAACGTTGCTAAAAATGATACCTGACCTAAAGGTTGGAAATGGGCGATATGCTTGCCATCACATTTATGCCCCACCCTGAAAAAAAAGCTTACATCGAGCAGCCTCCTTCAAGTCGTCGTCTTCTTCGCATAGGGTAACTTGGCTATCCAACACTCCAGAACTGAATGGAACGCATCACCACTGCACTTTGGTGTTGCAATCCCCTCCACAAAATAAAAAAAAACTTACTTGGGAATTGTATCAAGCGAAACGTGAACGGGTGAACGAGTAGATTTGCGAATTTCCCATGCAACAGCCTGCGGTCTAAAAAACTTTTGAACCTAAATTTTGACCATAATCAAGGAACGTGTACTTAGTGAATGGAAATCAAGTGCATAGTGGTCAAGCGGATTCCGCAAAAAATGCAAGCAATTGCTTTATTTGAAAGAAGCCTAAGCAATGCTTGGACTTCGTTCGGAAACAATCTTCCTCGCTAATCCGCCATGAACCTTCATAAATTTAGTATCACCAAAGAACTGCTAAAAGCTGTGTTAACACTTTTGACGCCAGCGCGGCAATCTACGGTTGCCGCGTTTTGCACCGCCGCCATGGACATTGTGGCAACTATAGTTGCACAACCCTTTACATTCAGTTTTTTTTCTTGAATGCGCATTTCTTCCCAGGTCTTTTTGTGTTCATTTTCTAGGTCATACCACAACATAAAGCAAGAACACGGGCTCTATAGAATGACCAAATATTCTTTAAGTTTGGCAGAGGTTTTTCGAACAGGACGAAAATATCCGTTCAGTTCATTCATCATTTTCTCTTCATTAACACGAACATTAAGATAAAAAGAAATTAGAAGTGAGTACAAAACTACTTGTGTGGCAAGATATGTGTTTTTACGAAACAACCACGTCCAAAATATTTTGAAATCGCTAAAGGCAAAAGTAAGTGAAACTTGCCTTTCAATGCTGTAACACGATCATTGACGACCGGCCTTTCACATGTGGTACCCTTCCAATAAGCTTGACACACCGAATATTAGTGAAACATTTTGTCGCATCGAATGTTGCGTATTTAAGCTCAAAATCCACAGAGTTTGTGTGTGAGGCGGCGGCGCTCTGCAGTACTTTAAGCTGAGCTTTTATCCCGCTATGCAAAGCCGCGGGTTCACTCCTAAGCCAAAGTAAAAGGCCGAGGTCACGCGTGCAAAATTGTTCCAACGGTGCGAGAAGCGAAAAAGCAGCTTTCTGTACTACGACTTACAAACCGACACAAGAAACGCTACTACTATGCCATAGGAAACAGCTGAAAATTCCGTCAACATTCCTGTCGCGCCATCAAAGCAGTGTAGACTTAGCCTGTCGGAGGCACATAGGTCCACTCTTTATTGATCGAAGGTAATAAAAAAGTGAAATAAAAAAAAAACATAACTTAACAGCCCATTTATGTTGTGATCAGACACGGCAGATCTCGTAAAGACAATCCCACCTGTTCTTTTGAAAGACTCGCCACATAAAAGCCCACTCTGACCATCGCTTTCGCCTTTGAAAGGATTTCCCGACATTGAAATGGCACTGTCGATGAGAAAATCTAGTACACGCCCTTTGCGCGTTTTTCGTTTCGCATCGCCTGTGCCAGCAGAGACTGCTCGGGTTACCTGGAGTTTTCCGAGTGCTAATTCATACATCAACCCCTTAGAATCTTCTCCCATGGCACAATTCAAAGGCAGTCACCTCTCGAATGAAATTCGGGAGCAAACGTTTGCTGTGGATTCAAGAGCCACCAAACTCGTACCAGTGCTGAAAACTCCACGCAACGAGTTAGCAGACGAATGATATCACATTTCCAGGCAAAAAAAATATCCTCAGAAATAAAAAAAGAAGGAAACTGCAAAAGTAACAGGCGCCAATACATAAAAAGCAGCAGCAGGAAAAATAAGTCAACGCACACTCTCACGATACAAGATAGAATGAGGCAAAATTAACAGGTGCACTGCCAATATTTCTGTCGTATTTCGGCTAGCTTTAACCTGCAGTAGTCAGTTTTTTTACCAGCTCTGCTTATGAAATGATCGCCTCTAGCCTTCAACCCAGCTCTCTCAAGACCTTCGCAAGCTATCGCACAGCGGCGCAGTTTCGCCATAGGACTACCAGACCCATGGAGCGTTCAAATTTCAGGTTACATAATAAGACCACAGCTTTTCCTTCCAAAAGCAAACAAGCTCCGCTACTTGAAGTTATATAGCCTAACATTCAGACACTGAAGCTCTCTGTTCTGAATGAAGCATCCTCCGAGTTTTATTTATTTTTTATTTGCGTACATTGGACGCGCGCTCCTGCCATCTACAGGGACTGTACGTAATTCTCGTACGGGCGCAGCGCAACCCAAAACGACGCGCCAAGTCCAGACTCCTATACTCATTGCTGAACTAAGCCTTTTGAAGGTAGGGAAAGAAAGCAGATATGCCTGTATATATCGCTGCGTATACGATGAGTTCCAAAGAAAACTAACAAAACACTGAATCACCCAAAGCCTTCCCGTTGACCACTCCCTAACGGTATTTCTGTCATCTCCACCGCTGCGCCGGTGCAATTGCGTACCGCACAGCGATTAGCAGTACTCACGCCTAGTCTCCTGGCGTTACATTTAAATATGAAACATTCACCAGGCGGGGCTCGTGAATCGAAAGGAAAATGGGATTAGCTCAAGTCATTTCCATCTACTACAAGTTCCGAACATGGTAGTCTTTCTCAGCCACCTGCTCTAGCTAGTTACTCCCGACACCGCCCTTGCTTCTCTGAGTTGTTCAGTTGAATTAATCTAGCCACTCTTATATATTCTACACTCGCCCGTACCATCTAACCTACGCAGGGTACTGTAGGTATGACAGTGCGACTCAGTAGCTGCGCATCTTTAGTACGATATGGCCATTGGGTATTGCTGCTCACTCTTCCTCTGTAAGAGATGCTGAAAATCACATCCAAGTTAAAACGTAGCATGATCCCGCTTTACTAGGAGCGCTTGCGTACTGTTGCGAGAATTCTTGAGAGCGACTAGGCCTGTCTCAAAAGGACACACCCACATGCTGACTGAGCCTTGGAGAAAGAGGAGACCTTTGAGGGAAATGTAAATCGCTTACACATCCCCATCAGTCCCCATAGTCTAGTTCTAGGGGCCAGCAGTGGGGGGGCGGAGGTACAATAGCAAGTTCTTCACGTCCCGCTGTGAGCAATATAAGCTCACTAATTGCGCTATCAATGGAAAAAGTGTTCTTCACACAGTACCATTATTTTGGCATGAAATTATGTCATAGGTTCGCTTCTATTTTACTGATGGGAAGATGGAATCTTTGCAGCTGATGTCCGCTACCACAAAATGTCACATGCTGTATCTCGTAATGTATATGCAAAAAACTACTGACCCAGTATAAAATCATCAAGTACTCATTATTTCTTCTCCGTACAACCGTTATACCCGTAGTTATTCATAATCTAAAACAGGGTGCCAACGATCAGCGCGAATCTAGCCGTTGACGTACTGTAAATTCCCTTGTTAGCTACCGCAATCCGCAACGGCGGCAGGGTGGGATAAATACGTAACCATCACCTTAGCAAGGAGCGTAGTCCCCCTTGGCAGACAATTGAGAGGTGGCTAGTAACCAAAATAAACAAGTAACGGAGAAAAAATCTCAGCAATGAAAAAATAAAACAACTAGCAAAAAAGACCAGCACCGAACGGGTGTTGGTACTTAAGGACAGAACGCACTTTTCGCACTCTCCGCAACCCGCCACATCCGCGCGCGGCAAAGGCTGGCGCACCCGTAGGCGAAAACATCTACGGATTAGACACGACGTGATTGGAAAGCAGCTCTTTTGCATGCGTGATCTGTAAGTTTCTGATTTCCCTTAACTTGCTCTCCAGCGCCTCACCACCCCAATTGTACTGATAAATGCGGTGAATCACTAATTCTGTCTCATTATTAAAACTTTGTGACTACAAGATTCCGTGCGATGCACTCTAAAAATGGTTTTTACTAACGAATTAATCCGGTGAACGAGGGTTTCATAGGGCCGCTCTCGCTTTGGCACTTTTGTGGGTCTCATATTGATTGTATTTAGCACTTCGCATAAGGGTATAATAACATCCTTTTAAGAAACTCTTCCCTGCCTCCATTCACGCGATATGATACTCATATTTGGACGCTGGCGCCATTGGGGCAGGCTGCTGCCACAACTTCCCACACTCAATTTCTTTTAAACGCTTCCGGACCGCCTGACACACATGGTTATCACGACTTCAAGAGCTATTTCCAAGAGTTTTGTTTTTCGACTAAAAATATCTTATTTTGTACATAACTCCTATATAAGAGACTCATGCCGATACTGATAAAAACACTAGACTTACGTTTATAATCACGGTCTAAAAATTAACTCAAAGGGAGTAAAGTGGACTTTCAACGTGGGCTCAAGAGAAGACAGTTGTTTTCGGTGAAACATTAAAAACGAAGAATTAGTGAAATAATCCTGCTCGTCGTATCTGATTCATATCTATCAATTCTATTTGGACACGTTCTACCTCCCTTTTTTCCCCCATCCAACCCAACCCTTAATTTGAACAATTTCGGTTCCCTTCCCTCCTTTGTGCCGCTTCCCCTTTTTGTACAAAACCATTTTCTCTGTCAAAATTAATCTTAATATTTATCTCTCGAGACATACAACAGACATAAACGACCACAAATCGCTTTAATGGGAATGTCGCCAGACTTAAATAAAGACATTTTAAATTCCGCTTGCCGCGCAAGCATGCGGGAAGCGCAAAAAAAGTGCGCGTCTCCGCGCAAGGGTTAAACTTGTATAGGGGTTACTCGGGGTCCGAATTTGTCTTAGCGCTTCCGGCTCCTCGCATCTCTCGTCTCGCCTCCGCACCTAAATTAGACTCGCAGTACGGCGGATTTGGTCTACGGGTTATGAGCCTTTGTTGTAGTTGTACGGGCTCCAAAAGTGGTAGGCCATATCTCCTCGATGTGTGACACACTCCACATCTTTCTGCCACACGTTGCGTGGTTTGCCCTACTACGGAGTTACACTCCCTCCCTACGCTTAGTCGTAGTGCTGTACGGATAGAAAGCTAGTAACAGCAGCAAAGTATGCGTCTAAACAGCTACAATGGGACAAATTGGTGTCATATTCATGATCAGCGGCGCCCAAATAACCCTCCCTGCAGACTTTCACAGTCTGTCCTCGTCAAACGTCCCATCAACCATTCCTCTCCATTTCTCCATAAGCTCTACATCCATCTGCAAAAATAACCTAACCTCCCTCTTCACTACAGTTAGGCGGTCCACTTCTCGTACTATTTCTCGTTCATTTATCAAAATCCATGGCTATTTCAGCTTCAAACCCTTCAAAGCCGACACAAATAATCCGCGCGTCCCAATCGCCCGCGTCTTAATTTACTCGCACTTGCTTTCGCTACACGGTCGCCCAGCGCCGCGCAATTGCTTCTGCGTTGCGAAGAGCGAAAAATATGCCGTTCTGTCCTAAGCTACGCCACACCTCGCACCGGAACCGATAAGGAAATCAAATGATCTGCGCTTCGGAAATGACAGAGAAGACACAGGATGAAAAAGTCGACATTACCTAGTCCAAAGCCGATGGCAGCTGAAAGGTAGTAGCGCAAGATCTAACACTCGTAGAGAGTTCATTCAAAAAACAGGTTCGAAGGGAGAACCGTGGCTCAGCTAGTCCTTCATTAGCGCTCATTAGAACCAGACGTCATAGTCGGCGCCGATTACATGCGATTGATGCGATTTCGGACTGCGCTTCCATCGCTTGGCGTCGCCGACTAGACGTCGCGTCTAGTCAGTGGCAACACCTCGTGACAGCGATTGGCCGGTAAACCTTCACAAAATTCGACCAAGACTATAGTTTCGAGACAACTATATGCCCGAGATGTTAACGCTGTTCTGATGTGACAATACCAAACCTTTATAAAATCGACAATGCTTATACGCCTCTGTTAGGCTCCGTTATAGCTTAGCCCGAACTTCGGAAGATCTAGATAGTAGTCCCGATATGATATCCCAGGATAACGTAGTAGAGTACGGAGACCGTGCTCACAAAATGGTACTATCGATTGAAAATCGCTGGGATATTAGTTTGGCGCGACTTCAAGGCCGATAATAAACTCATAGCTTAATCTTTCCGCACATCCCTAGTCTTACTACCTACTCGCTACCACTTTACTCTACTACTTCCCTATATGTTATGCAATCTAACGACAACTCTTTCCGCCTACGTGTCGGAGTCAGAGATCGATACCTATCTATACTCTTCGTCAAGTCGGTGCATAATCTCCTACTCTAGCTACTATCCTAAGGTTCTCTCGCCCTGGAATACATATGTTTTTCATTGTCGCGTACTATCCTAATCTCTGCAGTCGCGAACTATGAACGCGGCCTTAGAGTTTGACGGTTACAGCTCCCGAAACTGTATGTCCAACCAAATTACAACCAGTACTTATAGCAGAGTGTTCAAGCAACATTAATGAGAGACTGGAACGAGAATGTCTACAACAAGAACATTAGAAACCAAAACATATAGGTGCACTAGTAATTTTGCCTCGCTCTGTATTGGTTACGTGTTTACTTGAGCTTTGCTCCGCATTCTCTGTCTTTAAAGGTATGGCAGACAAGTAAGGAAGAGCTGCGGATTCAGCTTCGAAGACTCACTGTCGCCCAAAGACACACCCTGAAAAAATGCAGAACGAGTTTTTTGGCAAGCTACACACCGTTTGAATCCAATTCTTTGCAGGACCCGCGCCATCGGCCCTTTACTGCCGTGTGATTTTGGCGCTTCGTTCGTAGTTGGTTAGTATATGGGCACTATTGAGCTATTACAACCCCAGAGGGGGTGAGATGCATCAAAATTTTTTTTTCGCTGAAACTTGCGCTGGGGGGGGGGTTATCGAGGCTCCTGATCACGAATATGACCTTAGTTTTTGGCGCTGGCGCCAAATTGGGCGCCAAGGGTGTTCTCACCAAATTCGCTGTAAACTTGTGGATAGGGGTTATCGAGGCTCCTAATCACGAATATAACAATCGTTTTTGTTGTTAGCGCTCGCACTAATTATATAGCAATCAGGACTAAGCCTCTGAATAGTGGAGGGCTCCAAGGTGAGTAGGGCACTCCCCTGTGGTCTAACGCACTCGAAGTTTGCCACACGGTGTGTGGTTCACCCACTCCGGAGTTTCACTCCCCTCCCCTAAGCTTAGTCCTAGGCGCCATGGATGAGAAAGCCTAGAAAATCAGAAAATATGCGTTAAACAACACGAGTGTTGAAAACCAGTGTCATATTCGTGATCAGGGCCCCGAATAACCTCTATTCAGAAGTTTACAGCGAATTTGGTGATAATCAGAAGTGGCGCCAGCTGGCGCCAATTTGGCGCCAACGCCAAAAAAGGATGTCATATTCGTGATCAGGACCCTCGATAACCCTCCTAGCGCAAGTTTCAGCGAAAAAATTTTTTGATGCATCTCACCCCCTCTGGGGTTGTAATAGCTCAATAGTGCCGTATATGTGACTTGTGAAGCAAGAAAGAAAAGGAGTTTTGTTGAAATGACAGGGAGTTGAGCGTAACAAAAGGAAAAGGCGAAAGATATTTGCTACATATACTCGATATCGGTGAGTTGGGGTGGGCGTGTTACCGGAAGTGACGTGCACTTGATAGAAACTATGTGGATACGCTGCTTCGAACATACATCGCTGGCTATCAGCAAAGCATGCTGGCAACAGCTTATCCACGCACTTCCATCAAGTGCACGTCTCTTCCGGTAACACAGCCACCCCAACTTTCGGATATCGACTGCAGAGCGGAGTAGGATTCCTCAATAGAGAAAGAGGGTGTTTAAGAAATTAAGTGTCTCACTCCGTTTTACAAGTTGCCTCATGTGAGAATGCATAGTTGGTGGTCTGCATAACGTCGGCAATGAAACTTTGTAAAAAATGTATCCATGTTGTTACTAACGGAGAGGTGCTACTGTCTTTACAATGTAAGAATTTCTCGGTAAAGGAGGATCGGTGCTATGCAAGTAGGCTGGGCACTGCATTTTTTGAACAGAAATGTATGCAAATGGGACTGCTGCCCGCTCCTATACTGTCACGAGAATAAGGGAATTCGTGAGCCAGGGGGGGATTGTAGCCAGTCTAGGGCGGGTGAGGGCAGTCATTCGACATGTGTGAAAAGCTGAGCGTGCTCATCCCACTCGTGTAGAGCCGGAGGATCAATTGTCAACACTTTTGTTTCGCTACAGATACAGGCGTAGTATTGGTTCATGCATCTCTCAGTTCGTAGTCTCTCCTCTATTCATATGATTATTGAGGAGGTAATAAAATTAAATTAATCAAAGAAACATGAAAGGTTTGCTTTTGATAGGTAGTCAGTCATGACAATTCTGAGTTCAATTGAATACTAGAGGTTGTTAGAGATGTGCTTTTTTTTTCTCATACAAAGCACGCTTTGTGGGGTACGAATGGTTGGAAATGGGAGAAGAACACCTTGTATCCTATCTGAATGATGTGAAACTGAAATGTAATGAGGTAATTCAACGTCATCAATCACGGCGACAACAATGAGATTCAGCAGCGCATTGCTTTCCGTAAGATGCACCTCACCAGATTTGTGAGGTGTTTCAAGGAAACTCGACAAAAGAAAGAGTGTGGAAGAGTGCAAACATGGTTTTGCTTCGGCTAATTCGGCTAAATGTTTCAAATGAGCAGTCAGCAGTGTCACAATAAGGAGCGATCAAAACTAACTTTGTAGTTCCTGTTTTACGTGGATCCACTACTTCGACCTACCGTGAGAAATTGTGGAGATTATTTTCAAATAGCTGCTTTGAAGCCTACTCTGTTCTATAAAGCAAATATCCTTCGCCTTTTCTTTACGCAGCTCGCTGTCACCTCAGCTAAACTCCATTCTTTATTGGCTTCACAAACGAAATGTACAAACCGAATACGAACGAAGCGCCAAAAGCAAACAGTAAAGGAACAATGGCGCGGGTCCTGCAAGGAATCAGAGTCAAACAGTGACCTCTCCAAAAAACTCGACCTGCATTTTTTCAGGGTGTAGGTTTAAGCGACAGTCGAAGATTCCAGTAAAGAATTTGTGAAACAAGGGTGTACAGGCGGTTAGGGGGAAGGTGTGAGAAGGGATAAGCCAAATGAAGAGAGGAAAAGCTGGAGCGTGCAAGGTCACATCTATCGATGTTCCATCTGATCGGACTTGTGAGCGGTCGATACGTATCAAGCGCCGTGCGCCACTTTTAAGTAAAACGCGTCGATTACGGCGCAGCGGCATAGCCTCCACGTACCTTACGCACAACTGCACGCGCAGATACTTTGACATCATTCAAAATCAAGAGGAAAAACAAAAACAAAGTCGCCTCTAAACCTACACGGGAGAAAAGCTGGACGAGTTTCCGGACGCCTTTTTTCGCATCACCACAGCTTGACTTCTAGACGAGCAGTGTATTTCTTTGATGGGCCAACTGTCCCTCTCAGGGCCTGTCGGGGATATACTTCAAAGTTTGTGCACAGTATCAGTGAGGAGACCCCAGCTGGAAGAAAAAGTCAGGTCTGCCGTAGCAGTTGCATAAATCCATGATCCGTTCAGAAATTCCCCCTGTCAAATTCATTCTATACTACCTCTTCGAGAACAGAATACTGTGAAGATTTGTGCGCAAATCACACTACCACACTACAAAATCAAGTGAGAGTTGGCATCCAACTTTTGTGGAGATAATCAAGACACAGATAACTGGTTTTCCTGATTCATTACTGCAGGGCTACAATCTCTTCCAAGCAATACAAGTTTTTTTCACACGCTATTGCAATTTACGGGGCATGGCAGTGCACCGCTAAACGTTTTGTTAGAAACAGGACTCAGCCTTAGGCGGGGGAGAAGAGACTTCAGTCAGCGTGCTATTTTCATTTCACCTGGAATTCTTGCCCCTCCTATGCATAGTCCTAAGGGACACCCGCAACCTGCAATAGCACCAACTTTCATTTGTTGATTTCATGTCATGGTCACATGAAGAATTCACATCTCATGGTGAATATCGAAGTTGAAAGCTCATCATACTAAGGCCGATGTCAGAGTTTGCGAATCGCGCGAATCGCTACCATCCGCGGTCGCGTCGCGGCCAGTGGATCACTCAATTGACTGGTGCCGCAACGCGACCGCGGACGCTAGCGAATCGCTAGTAGGGAATCGCGCGATTCGCAAAGTCTGACATCGGCCTCAGGGAGAACTGCTTACCATCTGGGTGACGATATTGTAAGGATACCAAGCAAAACATTGAATTCAGAAGGACTCTACATTAGCGAAATATTTTTGTTATTAGTGATAGAATAAATGAACATATTCTTCGAACACAATCATAAGCTACTTAGCTACGCCGAAATTACACTCATAGAGAGCAAATTCCGGTGCTAACTTAGTT